AGTGCTGTCCATTAGTAACTATTATGTCCATTACTTGCCACTCCTCAGAAGGAAGACTGGGCAATCTACTTCCGTAGTGGTACTGCCTTAGAAACCCAAGGAGGGATCACTATGAGTTGGAACTGACTCAACGACAGTGAGTTTTTTTTTAGTTTAATGGACACAAAATAAAGTATATGTGTTATAAGGGGGTGGTGATTGCCTTCTAAAGAAACCCAGAACTCTGTCAAGCTATCTTAGTGGAAAAAGGGGGAAGGAATGATCCTAATACCATTAAATCTAGAGAAGCCATCAGATGTTTGCCCATTCTAAACAAGGGGCCTCCCATTTTTATTACCCCTTTTCCCTATTTAAGGAGCCTTGGTAGTGCAGTGGTAAAAGCGCTTGACTGCTAACCAAAATTTCAGTGGTTTGAATCCACCAGCTGCTCCATGGGAGAATGATGTGGCAGTCTGCCTCTGTAAAGATTTACAGCCTTGAAAATACTACAGGGCAGTTCTCTGTCCTATAGGGTCACGATGAGTCAGAATGGACTCGACAGTGGTGGATTTGGGTTTTCCCCTACTTGTTCTCTGCACATGCTGTTTGGCATGTAGACATGGCTCTCTTGTTAGTATATTAATCCTAGTAGAAAAGGGCTCCACATTCCGCGTCCATGGCGCAAAGTGAGGCACACATGGTTGCAATCATAAGATCACACTCTGGGATGGGAGCTTAACTTTGGGGACCCTTGGCTGATGAGAAAATTTGCAATTTTACTCATCCTTGCCCTGTTTATTCCATGAATAAACATCTGATGATCATATCATTAGAACATGGCCTGGTCTATGCTCTGCTCCAAACGGTCTTCTCTAAGAACTTGTGAATATGGCACACAACAATGATTAAAAGTCCAAAGATTGTTACCCACAGTAATACCATTATACTGATGCTCTGTTAGTGTAGTGTCTAAGGCACTTGACTACTAACCAGAAGGCTGGCGGTTCAAACCCACCAGTCACTCCTTGGAAGGAAGGTTGCAGAATCTACTTCCGTAGTGATACTGCCTTAGAAACCCAAGGAGGGGTCGCTATGATTCGGGTCTGACTCGACGGCATATAACAACAACAACAACAATGCTCTGTTGATTAATAATTTGTTTTCAAAGTTTATCAATTATTCTTGACCTAGGACATATATCTATGAACAAAGCCTGGCTGCTTACTTACCTGTGGTCTATCTTGGTGGTTCTAAAAGTATGGCACTTGGACCAGCAATATGAATATCACTTGGGAACTTGTTAAAATTGCAAATTTTCAGTCCTAACCCAGATCTACTGAATTGGAACCTTTGGTGTTGAACCCAGAAATCTGTATTTTAACAAGTGTCCAAGGTGATTCTGATGCCAGTCAAGTTTCAGAAACACTGATATATTTGAACATCTTTTTTAAGTTCTTTTCCCTCCCCAGGTTTATTTTTTTTTTTCTTTCCCCTTCCACCTGATTTCTTATCCTTAGAAGGGTTGCCAACCTTAAGAGAGAAGATGAATTTTGGACCAATATCTTCAAAGTTATGCATGATGGAAGGAACTTTACCATCTGAAGAAACTTCATAAAAATTTATGCTGGTAGATCTGTTAAAAGATATAAAGCCAAATATGTTAATTTTGCTATAGCTCCTGAAATGAAATATCTCTTTTATTTAAATATCTTCTAGCATAAATTATAAGTAAATTAGTTTACATTTAGGTACAAAAGCACTAAATGAAAACAAATGCTCCTTATAGGCTTATGGTCCAGTATACATCTCTAAGGCTAAAACAAATTCCTTTCAAAACACATCCATTCTTCTTCTTTCTGCTGAAATTCTCATTGTTATATATTTATCCATTGTCAGGTTTCTAAAATAAGTACAGATGTGTTGCTTTAAAAATTATAGTGGACCCCCTGCTGTGATGTTGACTTTTAGTTCACACACTTGATTGAGTGAACAGTATACTGCATAGCTTTTATAGGCCAGAGGGTTTTACACTCGGTATTTCAGTGGTTGAAATACAATAGGGCATTGGGTATTAGTTTCTGAAATATTCATTACTAGATGCCTGTGAAATATGGAATGCATTTTTCCTTAATAATCTGTTTATTATTTTCTAGTTCTAAGCTAATCTTAGGCTTTGGGTCTGAATTGGGGTTGTTCAAATCTTTTCCCACTACTGCAGGTACCACCTTTAAGATGGCTCATCTATAGATTGTATTAGAGTGGACCCGGAGGCATTGGAGTGACCGTGACCTCTTTGCTCGGGATTGCCAACTAGAGTCTACAAGTGAGGGCATGCCAGGTCAGGAATCCCACAGGACCACTCAGATCACTGTGTAGCTGGAAATCTCCCCTCTGATACTCACTTCTGGACCCCTGAGCCTGGATTCCAAGCAGGGCAGCTTCTCCAGGTGTGGGGATAGGAATCTGAGAAGCACTATGCACATGCTCTCCATTTATTCCTGCCAAGCAATTTATCTTAGTTATGGGATATTGAATCTATTTCCTAAAAAAATTAAACCAAATATTTTCTGAAATAATTTTTTTTTTCTTTACTGAAACCCTTTCTTTTTTCTTATACTTTAGCAAGAAAGCTTTTCTGAGTTTTCAAAAGGAAAATATGTCAGAGGGTGACAAATAGATGTGGTCTTTGTCAAGGTGATTTATAGGAGAGGAAATGATGATTTTTCAGTCTTATAAGGAACTTGGAAAAACTGACTCAAATTTGGAACAGAAGGCCTGCATGTGTGTGCATCAATGATTCCCTTCGCCTTCCCACAGATCTTGGTGTGGCCCACTGTTGTGGACTGAACTGTGTCCCCCATATGATTTGTGTTGGAATTCTACCCCTATCATCCTTGGATAAAGTTCTGATAGAGAATAGGGTTTTTGTTATTTTAATGAGGCCCTCGCAGTGTTGGATGTGCCCTAAACCTGATCATTTCTGAGTTATAAGGGGCAGCACAGACACCAACAGGCACAAATAGAAGACAGATGCCATGTATGTGAATATCGCACAAAGTAGAACAAACAAACACAAAAAGTGAGGAATGCTGGAAGAGACAAAGACCCTTCCCCTAGAGGTAAGGCCTTGAATTCAGACACCTAGCCTTCTGAACTGTGAGAAAATAAATTTCTGTTTTCAAAGCCACCCACTTGTGGCATTTCTGTTATAACAGTACTAGGAAACTAAGACAACTCAGCACATAAGAAAAGTTTCTAAATTGGTTAATATATTCTGCTTTTGTAAATTCTCTGCATTTTAAAGAGATATAACATTATTTCTTTTTTATGTTGGTCAATATATTCAGATAGCAGCAGTTACCTACCACCAGGACATCCTATTTCAGAAATAATTCCACTATCACAATCAGTTTCCACACATCATACTTGCACAATATAACTGTACATTTATACAGTATCAAAGTAATTACTTAGGGAGGTACTCAATAATTGGGTAGTACTTTAAAAAAAATTCACCAAGATTTTATTAAAAATCGCTATATTACATTGTTGTATTTTCAAAAGGATTTTAGAATGTCTTAGAATCAAGTTACTGTCACAAAAATACATAGCTAAGATGTTAAATAGGAAGAGTGAAGTTTTGTACTAAACTATATGTATGCCATGTTAAAATATCTGAGAAAATTGCCATGATGGGGAAGTGGAATCGTAAAAAGGTTACATTAAAACAAGATGTTTTGGATGAGAAAGAATCAATGTAGGTAGGGAGAAAAAATGATCAGGTATTATCAATCTTTTGTGGGTACATTAGTCTTCATCACTTATTTTAGTAACTGTGAGTCCTCTGTAATCTGCAGTTACTGATTAATTTTTCAGGAAAGATAATTTGGGCCGAGCTTTGTTTCTGTTTGTGCTGTATGCAAGTAACTCAATACAGAAACATTCTTTACATCCTTGCTCATGTGACTTAAGTTCTAGGAATGATGGTATATATATTTTTTGTTTTGTTTTTGCTAGGTGGTCTATTGGATGGGCTAGATATCCCATGCTTTTAGGGGCTGGGGTGATGTGGTGGGAGTCAGAGAATTTGTTGTCACAGACACTGTTCCCAGCCTGGCTTCTTGGAAGATTTCCCTGAGTGTTTTTCAGGGATCATTGACCTGTGCCAGCAGCTGCCTTCAGGATTCAGCAGATAGAGAATGCTGGCTCCTAGGCATGGAGACAGGCATTACCTGAGTCCTACCACCCGTGCCTGAGAAGACATTTTATTTCCAAGTGTGAGTCAAGGTGGTAATAGCAACATATTAGCATCTGTGGCAGTTGTATGTCATCCATTTCTCAAGACACCCATCCCTCTGAACAATTCTAAAACAGCTGGTGTCAACCAGTAACATTTTTGCCACTGTTTCCAGGTTTACTTGCTTTGGGCAGGCAAGAAAAGGAATGAGGTATTTCTTCATGGCTAGCTTACTTTGGAAAACCTTTCATTTCATCCTCACTGGAAGAAAACCCCAATCTATTATGTCAGGAATTTTCCACCCAGAAACAAATTTCTGTAACTAAATTAAATATTTTTGTGAACATACTATACATAAAGTATTTTGCCTGGGGCTTCAGTGTCCAGGAATGGGGATATTGCTGGAGATCTCACATGGACAGCTGACAGTGAGAAAAAAGTACTGGTGCTCCTCAGGGCCCTACAGGTTCTGTTTCAGATCTGGAGGTTTTCAGCTCCTCTAAGGTTCTAGTTTTCCCACGGTGTGTGGAAGATATGTTATTTCTTTTGTATTTCTAACATTCCCCTGAATCAAGAAACCAAAAGAGTTGCTCAAGGTGTCTCATGGGGCCAATATGTCTGTGCACATCTGATTTATTTGACCTGGGAAAACATTCCTAATGAAAATCTTCAGTTAAGAAAGAGAATCTAGGGAGTTCCGGTAAGATGGCGGAATAGGCAGATAAACTACACAGACCCCCTTCAACAAAGAAAAGGGGAACCAATTAACACTGATACAGAAGATAATCATGGAGCCCTGATGTTTGAAAGGAAGGATATAGAAGTGGACTAAACTCCAACTAGTAGAAGAACCTGCATGAAAATACCAATAAAAGAGACATACAGAGCCACGATCTGTCAGCGATGTTGACGGCATGGACAGTTTGGATATTGCCAAGGGGTGTTAGGACCTACAAATTAACCTAAAAATCAGCCCTGCTAGCTAGGGGCTGCACAAAGGACTGCCCTGGTGGCTGGTGAATAAAGGGAAGCAGCAAAGAGGGAGATGGGCTGAGCTATGGACTTTTGGCTGTCTTGAGGGTACAGCCACTTTGTATTTTTACAAGTGGTTTGACCATTTTGGATATTTAAAACAACAGCATTCTCCCAGATTCCAGGGACTTAAGAATAGGCTCCACTCGTAGGGAGCTACATGGACATTCAGGACACAAACAACTGGAAAAGTGCAATATTCCCCTTGTACTCTTAGCCCCACATCATCTTGGTGAACAGAGGTGTGGCTATCCCTCACTGCCACCCACCTTCTGGGCTGGCAGGATTTCCATCTCAGTGTATTTGGATGGAACCTGGGAGCCCTGCCCTGCCCTGCTGAGATTTTTTTTTCCTTTTTTTTTCAGTTTGTTTGCTTTTGTCTTTTTTAAAATTATTATTATTATTTTGTCCATCTTACTATTATTCTTTATTCATCCCTTCCCAGGTGCTAGTGTTCAGCTTTTCCTCTCTTCTCTGTTCCTGGTTCCTATTTTTTTACTTTCTTGTGGTTAACCCCATTCCTTGTTTTTCTTTTTGCATTGAAAAAGGCACCATTCTTTTTTCATCATTGTTCTCCTACTCTACCTTTTTTGTCTTATTGCCCTCTATCCAGATATTGTGTTTTTTTTTCCTTTGTTTAGTGATTGTTCTTGTGTTTTTATGCAGTGCATTTTTTGTCTGCTTGTTTTCACTTTTTTGATGGTTTTTCAATTGTTATTTTTGTCTAACTGAGTGGGAGACAGCAGCAGTGCCCATACAACACAACTACACCCACACCTCCTGCAATTCCACTTCCTCTTCCACCAACTGGCCAATGATAAATAACCACCAAGAAGAGCCTGACTCACCCTTTGCTGCTCTCCACAAATAGTTAATAGATATATAAATACCTCAATACTTTGTTGGAAAGGGATCAATCAGAAAAAAAGATCAAAACAAAATGAAGAAAGGCTAAGGTTCATGTGGGATACCATCAAAAGGAATAACCTATGTGTAATCAGAATTCCAGAACAAGAAGAGAAAAAGAAAATCATTGAGAAAATTGCCCAAGATTTGTTAGAAGACAACTTCCCTGATATGGTGAAAGATGAAAACATATCCATTCAGGAAGTCCAACAAATCCCAAACAGGATAGACTCCCTCAAAAACTCACCAAGACATATCATCATCAAACTCATCAAAACCAAAGACAAAGAAAGAATGCTAAAAGAAGCATGAGAAAGACAAAAAATTACCTAGAAATGACAACCAATAAGAATAAGATCTGATTTCTCAGAAGAAACCATGCAAGTGAGAAGGCAATGAGACGGTATATATAAAACCCTGAAAGAGAAAAATTTCCAACCCAGCAAAATTGTCCCTCA